GCATCTTTTCTATCGAATAAAAGTTAAACCTACTCAATTATTCATGTTTTTATGCTTATTTCCAAAAGTTATGTGCATCATGACGTTTCCATCAATAGTTTTTTTTATGCACACGTCCAAAATGAGCATTAAAATAGGTGGGTGGAAACGTAAGGATAAAGCTGCGGTCACCATGGGCTTTTCCTCCCATAGACTTCCATTTATACGCATGCAAATACGCTAGACCGGAAATGCAAGGTCATGCGTCAAGTTTCGCAGGTTGCTGCTGCGCAAAGTTCAAGCTTGGTGAACACTGACCTGAAAAGTCGCATCACTTGACTGCGTGAGACCAATCGAGGATCAAAACATGACATCTCTGGTCAGAAATTAAAAACATGGACCAATCGCTCGCTTTTTTAATGTCTAATCATATTGTTTAATCCCGCCCCTTTTCGCAGCTCCGCACGACAGAATAAGTAAGCTCAAACTCTAGTGCACAGGAGTCAAACTCAGTTCTAAAAGGGCCGCAGCTCTGCAGGGGCGCAACTACACATTTACTGAGGGGTATGCGGGTTCAAATTTTGTGTGATCCCTCTTATTTTATATTAATTAATTACTAATAAATGAAGACAAATTTTCAGATTAATCTTATAACTTTTGACATTATGTATGATTTGACAGTTTATTTTGATAAAAATAAAAACAAATCTAAACAGTTACATCTACATGAACACTTTCGGCTGTGGGACTGCATGTTATTGTGTTAAATGATTTTGAATTAAACAATAACAATATTATATTCGTTTAAAATGCAAAATAATGTTTTTTAACAAAACATATTTATTTATTTTATTATTTGAAACTTTTAATAAGGGTAATTTAAAAAAAAAGTTGGCACAACGGCGCCCCCCCATGTGTGGCGCCCCTATGCGCCGCATATACTGCATATTGTTGCGCCACTGCAGCTCTGCACAGTTTAGTTCCAACCCTAATTAAACACACCTGATCAAACTAATTGAGTCCTTCAGGCTTGTTTGAAACCTACAGGTAAGTGTGTTGGAGCAGGGTTGGAACTAAACTGTGCAGGGCTGCGGCCCTCCAGGGATTGAGTTTGACACCCCTGCTCTAGTGTAATCGCAGCTTAAGGTGACCAACAGAAACTCTGAGTTTAGAGAATAAAACCTGCTCCTGACCTGGTTAGGTTCACAGAGTAAGTTACCACAGTAACTGACTGAGTTAAAGTTGCCTCTCTTTCAGAAACAGGCTTGACTTACCCTGCTTTCTCCAGTTTAACAAACCTGCCATTTTGACACGGAAAACCCAGAGTTTCAGGGATAAAATACTCTCTTTCAATTTAAGACACATCTTAAATCCTTGAAAGTTTTTAATATACGGGCGAGGCAGTGGTGCAGTAGGTAGTGCTGTCGCCTCACAGCAAGAAGGTCGCTGGGTTGCTGGTTCGAACCTCAGCTCAGTTGGTGTTTCTGTGAGGAGTTTGCATGTTCTCCCTGCCTTTGCGTGGGTTTCCTCCGGGTGCTCCAGTTTCCCCCACAATCCAAAGACATGCGGTACAGGGGCCTCATGTACGAAGACTTGCGTGGAAATCTTACTAAAACATTGCGTACGCACAAAGCTGTAAATGTGCGTACGCAGAAAAAAATTCAGATGTATGAAACACTGCTTACGCCGAATCTCACGCATATTCTTTTGTAAATCTGAATGAACGTGAAACTGAGCGCAACATGCACGAGCACAAAACCCCTCCCTGCCTCCTCCCCCGTATGAATATGCTAATGACTATGCTAATGTCAAAACCCAACGAAAAAGCAATGGCAAAAGCAAGCAAAAAGAGAAACTTTGAACAGAATGTGAAATGGAGGTGCTGCTTTCGGAGGTAGACCGGAGAAAAGCGGTGTTATTTGCAAGTTTGTTCGGCGGAATTAACAACAAAAGAAAAAAAATAGAGTGGGAGAGTTTAGCTGATACGGTTAACACAGTTGGGTCTGAACATCGCACTGAGTGCATTTAAAAAAGAAATAGTGTGGTTTATATCTGTAAAATGTTGCAGTACCCTTCGCAGTCTCAGTGGCGCACCTCATACGACGCATGTGATCATGTACTGACACGTTCGAGCATAAACTCGGCTCGAATCCAGTGTCTGATGAATTCCTTCTTCTTTTTTTTCCCCGCTACATATCAGATTTTGCCCACTATTTATCACGAGAAAGACAAGTAGGAATCATCAATAAGTTTGTGCATCATATTTTATTTGCACATTTATTGAATGGAAATGTTTCTGATTCACGCATGCAAATTTATCTTCACATAGTGTCTTTATAGCAATGTGCGTGCAGTAAATCGCTCAGATTACATTGGGAAAACAGGCGACCGCTGCAAATTGTGCTTTAATGTTTAGCTGGTCAACTGTATGGTATGGAAATCTTACATACCTACTATATGAACCCGTCTCATACAGACGCCATTGCAAGGATCAGACACTTTGTAGAGAAGAATTTAACACAACTGCCTCTAGGAGTCGCCAATGGAAATAAAACAGACACGCACAAAAAATGTGCGTACGCCTGCCAGAAAGCTGCCGTGAACCTGCGCACATTCCCACGTTCAGTTCATTGTTAGTAAATCCAAACGTGAGCGATTCTGAGCGTGAAACCTGGCGTACGCAAAGTTTTTGTGCGTACGCAGCGTTGATACATGAGGCCCCAGGTGAATTGGGTAGGCTAAATTGTCCGTAGTGTATGAGTGTGTGTGTGAATGTGCGTGTGGATGTTTCCCAGAGATGGGTTGCGGCTGGAAGGGCATCCGCTGCGTAAAAACTTGCTGGATAAATTGGTGATTCATTCCGCTGTGGCGACCCCGGATTAAAAAAGCCGACAAGAAAATGAATGAGTTTTTAATATATTGATTTTTTTTGTATTTATATATGTATTATATCATCTTTGCATCAAGTTACAAAAAACGAAATACCGCTTATTCGTGGTGTGTCTAACGCAGTCTCTCAAGTTGGCTTTATTGGCTTTATAGGGTATGCTGAAGCATGCTAATAGGACTTTGAATTTGCCAGTAACCTGGGTTAAGCACTTCCGGTCAACTGCATGCCAATGCAAAAACCGGCACGTTTAATGTCAGTTTTCTTTTAAAAAAATCTGCGATCTCCACTGGCTGAGTGATATCCGATATAAAGTGAGTCTCAGATTGTTCAAGAAGCACTGCAGTAAATTAAATTTTCCTCCATGTCTTTATAATATGAGCATTTATTTTACCCCTGTATATTCAATGGGGCTTCTGCGCTAGCCTGCCGATTCTGACGGGTGCGTGTGAGTAAACGGCTTTTTGTCACGTTTTTCGCTTGAGCAACTAAATGAATGTCTAAGTTTATTTAACTGAATGTATTTTAATTAACATTGATGGTGTAAAAGGAACCGTATAAATTGGAAAAAAAAGTTAACAATAACAGGTCACCGGAAGTTTATCAGTATGGGAAAAACTTTTTTTTTTTTTTTTTAATTTAGTTAGTTTTTATTATTATTAATAATTTTTTGCTTATTCTCATTGCTTTGTTTGCTGAAATTTATTTATTTTATTTTATTTTTCACTATTTTTGTTACTTTTCTTTTTCTTCGACTCCTCCCCTTCATTTTCTGTTTTTTTATTATTATTTTTTTTAATTATTATTATTATTTTATTAATTTTTGTTTATTATTATTAGTTTATTTTCTCTTTTCCTCTCTTTCCCCTTCTACTTACTACTTACTACTATTATTATTATTATTTATTATTATTAATATTGTTGTTATTATTATTATTATTATTATGATTATTACTTGTCCTCTCCCTGATTTCCCATCCTCCCTTTTCCTCGACATCTGTCATAAATGGTATTACTTTTATTTTTTGTTATCATTATTATTATTACTGTTCTGACTTGTCCTGTTATCTTTTCATTATCATTATTACAAGTATTTATACCATTATCATTAGTAAGGTTGCAGTTGTTGTAATTGTAACGATAGTAGTTGTAGTAGTAGTAGTAGTAGTAGTAGATGAAGTAGTAGTCATTGTAATAGTATCGATTGTTATTGAGTAATTGTTACGTAGATTATAGAAGTTGTAGTTCATGTAGTAGTAGATGTCATTGGTATAGTAGTAGCAGAAGTAGTAATGGTGTGGTTGTTACAGTAGTAGTAGTAGTCGTTGTTGGTGTAGTAATATCAGTAGTAGATGTTGTTGATATTGATGTAGTAGAAGTGATTATAGTAGTAGTAGTAGTGGTCGCAGTAGACATTGTTGTATTAGTTGTAGCAAACGCTATAGTAGTATCAGTAGTGGTAGTCGTTGTAGTAGTATCAGTATTAGTAGACACGTTAGTAGTAGTAGTCGTGGCTGTAGTAGAAGCAGTAGTAGTTGTAATATAAGTAACTTTCTGTAGTAGTAGTTGGTGTAGCACTTGTGATTTATTATTATTGTTGTCAGTTATTACTGTTGTCCTTTCTCTCTTTTTACTCTCATATTTACTATCATACATTAATAAGCAATGTTGTTACTCCCTACCTCTGACTGGTTTCTTTCTATATGTTTTATCTATATTTGTGACACTTGCTTCATTTATTGACTGTTATTGTTCCTAATGTATGTACTCTGACCTGTCCACCAAGTTACCTTTACATGCATACACACACACACACGCACACACTCACGCACATACCAGTACCTGACTATTGTTTATGTTTTTGTTTTTTGTTTTGTTGCTTTGTATTTGTTATCTGTTGATGTTTTCTTGTATTTGTATGATTTTTGCATATTCTAATAAAAAAAAAAAAAAAAAGTATGGGAAAAACACTAGCTCGGCATATACCCTATTGTCAGCAAATAGGAGTGTAAAATAATGTTTTGTTGTACTCTCCCATTCACTACACTTTCATAGATTACTATGATGACTTCTGCTAAGGAGAAACCCGGAGATGTGAAAAGACTCCATTTTAAGTGATGAAAATGAGACAAACCTGGGCAGTGAAAGCGGTGTGTTGCTCTGCCAGCTTTGCCCGCTCCGATCATCAGATCCGCTGCTGAGACGTTCGCTGGATGGTGCCCGCGTGGCATCAGTGTCTCCGGTTATGGTCAGCGCAGACACTGAGAGGCTGGGCATTTCTACATGAGCCAATGGAGCGAAGCTGAGCTCCACGATCTGCCGCGCACTCTGGTAGATCTGACCCTGCACCTGCGGATAGGCATGAGTCAGTGTAAGATTCTGACGGTTGATAAAAATACCAGACACAAAATCTTTACATCATCAATCTCTAACTGGATTCCTGGAGGGCCGCAGCTCTGCACAGTTTTGCTCCAACTCTAATCAAACACAGCTGATGCAACTAATCAATGTGTTCAAGACTACTGGAGACTATTAAGCAGGTTGAGTTGACGGTGGTTGGAGATAAACTGTGCAGAGCTGCGGCTCTCCAGGCTTTGAGTTAGAGACCACTGCTTTACATGCAATGATCAAGAGACTGTTTAGATGCTTGTCACTGATGAGAAGATGACTGCTGATTGTATGATAATTAAACAGCCTTGATTGATATTGATAGCCTTAACAATAGCTAAATGCACAACAGAATGTTACGTTTTCACTCACACACACACACACACACACACGCACACACGCACACACGCACACACGCACACACGCACACACGCACACACGCACACACACACACACACACACACACACACACACACACACACACACACACACACACACACA